AAAGGCTTCACCAGAGACAGAGTGGGGAGCAGAACAGGCAGACTGACGAAGTACACTGCTGGGGGCAGCAGCGGGCGGGTCAGGAGAGGTCTGCCACACCATGCAGATCAGGGCTGGGGTTTGAACTCGCACTGAAGCGGCTGCGGTTAGCTTGCAGTGCTGCATCCTAACCCGCTGCGCCACCAGTGAGGGCCAATGTATAATTTCTTATAAGGTATTATTTCTTATATTGGTATAAATTCTTAGCAGAGGGATGAACTTATCATGAATCAGCCATGCTGAGAATCTAGTAAGAGAAACAGGCCACATGTGGGAATTGTTCCTGGTGATTAGGAAATGTAGTTGTCTCACTACCATTCTACTTACTGGGATTTTCAATTTCTTTATTCATGTTTCCTTCTATTATTGTTCATTGTTGTACATATTTGGTTTCTCCCCTCAGGTGTAGTTCTCATAGTTCTCCCACCACCAAATTATCCACAAGCCATGATGACCACAGTCCTTTGTATGCCTCCCTTCCCTATTTTGAGCCTCTTCCTGCCCCTCTCCTGCTGTATACCTCTGATCTATGGTCAACATGCAACTTTTGTCTTTTTTTTTGACCTTTTGTCTGGTTTTACTATATTGCACATTTGGTAAATAAATTATGAATAGTTAATATTAATTTATTAAAATGACATGCGTTTGTCTTTTTTGATTGCTGAATAGCTTTCCATCATCTATATATGCCACAAATTCTAATTATCAGTGAAATGCAAATCAGAACCACAATTCAATACCACCTCACAACAGTGAAAATAGCCTATATTTTTAAAAAAACTGTAAATAACAAAAGGTGGCAAGGCTGCTGCAGGAATGTAAACTGATCCAGCCACTATGGAAAGTTGTGTGGAAAGTCCTCAAAACACTAAAAGTGGAGCTACCATATAATCTCATCATCCTGCTCCTAGGAATCTACCCAAAGCACATAAAAATACTTGCAGAATCTTTAACAAAATGGCAGAAATTAGCATTTATAAAGTACTTAATGTACTATGCAGACAACTAAGTCTTATGATTTTGCAATGATTCTTTCGGAAATGATTTACTTTTTGATTGGTATTGACGCTCTGTGGATGAATTTATTCTTACCTTACCCTCCAAGGTCTTCTGAAGGGTCATTTGGGATCATGGCACAGAACATGACATCACAAATTAATAACTTCTCAGTTCCAGTCTCTGAATTCCTACTCATCTGCTTCCCTAACTACCAGAGCTGGCAGCACTGGCTATCCCTGCCCTTCAGCCTCCTCTTCCTTCTGGCCATGGGGGCCAACGCCACCCTCCTGCTCACCATCTGGCTGGAGGGCTCACTGCATGAGCCCATGTACTACCTTCTCAGTCTCCTCTCGCTGCTGGACATTGTGCTATGCCTCACTGTCATCCCCAGGGTCCTGGCCATCTTCTGGTTTGACAACAAATCTATCAGTTCCTCTGCCTGCTTCCTCCAGATGTTCATCATGAATAGCTTCCTGACTATGGAATCCTGCACCTTCATGGTCATGGCCTATGACCGTTATGTAGCCATCTGCCACCCGCTGAGATACTCATCTATCATCACAAACCAATTTGTAGTTAAGGCTGCCATCTTTGTTGTGACCCGGAACGGCCTTCTCACTATGCCTGTCCCCATCCTTTCTTCCAGACTCAGATACTGTGCAGACAACATCATCAAGAACTGCATCTGCACTAACCTCTCTGTGTCGAAACTCTCTTGTGATGACATCACCTTCAATCAGCTTTACCAGTTTGTAGTAGGATGGACCCTACTGGGCTCTGACCTCATCCTTATTATTTTCTCCTATTCCTTTATCCTGAGAGCTGTGCTAAGGATCAAGGCAGAGGGAGCTATGGCCAAAGCTCTGGGTACCTGTGGTTCCCACTTCATCCTCATCCTCTTCTTCAGCACAGTCCTGTTAGTTCTAGTTATCACTAATATGGCCCGGAAGAGAATTCCCCCAGATGTCCCTATCATGCTCAACATCCTGCATCATCTTGTACCCCCAGCTTTGAACCCCATTGTCTATGGTGTGAGAACCAAGGAGATCAAGCAGGGAATACTGAAACTTCTCAGAAGGTTATAAGAAGCAAAATAGGTGAGACTAACATTAGAGACATGACTTCAAAATGGGTGAAAGTCATTCTGCATAAAAACTTTAAATTGATACTGCTAGAAATAATTTGGTTTAGATTTCTGAATGTTTCATTTGATTTTGATGATATACAGATCTTGAGTTCTGTTTTCTATGGTACTAACTAGAACCTTAGATGGTTGCATTATGGAGCTTCTTGGAAGTTTTCCCAAGAAGTTGAATAGAAGTTGTCAAAACATAATACAAGAGTTGAATTAGAGTGATATGAGTTTTCAAATAAAGAATAAATGTGTTAACAGTCACTTTCAACCCCTCTTCATTTTCTCAATTGCTTTACTGTTAGTTGGGTGTTAGATCTCTTGGTTTTATCTGACAGTTCCAACTGGGTTTTTTTGCCATGAATGGATTTTTTGGCAGAGATAGAGACATTGGTCATAGGGCTTTATTTCTTAGTTGAGTGAATGACATGTGTCATCCACTGCCACCTCTAGCCCTAGCAGATCTTATTAATATATTTGCCTAATGCCATTTATCTAGAAATTGAATTTCCTGTACTTCTTTCCTTCTTTTTAATGATTTTCTTTAAAAATATTTGGATTGGCCCTCCCTGGTGGTGCAGCGGGTTAAAGCACAGCACTGAGAATCTAAAGCCGCTTCTGCATGAGTTCAATTCCCGCCTGCCCCGGAGGTGACCACATGGTGTGGCAGACCTCTCCTGACCCGCCCGCTGCTCCCCTCAGCAGTGTACTTCGTCGATCTGCCTGTACTGTTCCCCACTCTGTCTCTGGTGAAGCTTCTCACCGCCCCTGAGCCTCTGGCCTGTACCCCAGTTCTGTATGCACAAATAAATAAATCTTAAAAAAATATATATTTGGATAGCCCTCTGACACTTGGCAGAGAAAATATTTTTTATGATGGGATTTTCGAGAACTTCCTCTTGCTGCGTTTTTTTTTTTCCCCTTGGGCTCATATAGAAATAGTTTCTGGTAAATTAAAACTCTAGTATATATTTTTTTTTACTAATTTTTTTAAGAGTTACTTATTTGTGCATACAGAACTGGGGTACAGGCCAGAGGTGCAGGGGCGGTGAGAGGCTTCACCAGAGACAGAGTGGGGAGCAGAACAGGCAGATCGATGAGGTACAGTGCTGAGGGGAGCAGCGGATGGGTCAGGAGAGGTCTGCCACGCCATGTGGATCTCCTCCAGGGCAGGCAGGGATCGAACTCATGCAGAAGTGGCTTTAGCTTCCCAGTGCTGTGCTTTAACCCACTGTGCCACCAGGGAGGGCCTAAAACTCTAGTATTAATTCCAATAATTTTATCAATGTTACATTTAGAAGCTTAGAGACTTGATAGCTCTAAAAGATGTATATTTCTTGCTCTCCTTCCAAATGATCCTGATAATGTGCTTTTTCCTTTTACTTGTAAATTCTATGAAGTCGATGTTTTTCCATTCATTTTGTAGTTCCTGTGATTCAAACAGAATAACAAGCACATAAAAGATGGTCAGCAAATGCGGTAATAGGGTCAATAAACTGGGGAATGGCATAAAATAGGAGAATGAAATTATCTGTGGAAAGAAATATATACTAAAATGAAATGTGAGAGTATATGTATAACAGAATATGTTCCTAAATATCAAACAAAGAAATACTTAAATAGATGAGGGTTTTAAGATGTTCCAGGGAAGCACTATAAATCTCTATTTTCTCTTTCTCTTTGTATTTAAATGCATAGATAGTTTAGACAAGTAGTTAGGTTTATGCAGGATATAGTACTTCAGGCATTGGTGGCCAAGAACAGAAAGCCTGAAGCATTTCTACATCTTTTTGATCTACAAGAAAGGCAATGTTATGACATTAGCAATATGGAGACCCCAGCCATAAAGTACTAAGTGGTGAGAAGTTGAATTGTCATCACTGGTTGCAGACTAGTAACTGAATAGGCATTAGCTTGGAGGAAACTATCCCCAGGTACCTTTGAAACACCCGCTTAAATCCTTAGCAGAAGTAATACTTTATGTTAGGGATTTAGTTCGATCTCATAGACAAAAAAATCAGAATGCATGCCCCAGATGTTGGTGGGTGAGGACCTAAAGTTGCAGAAATCAGAAATACATAACTTTGTTGGAATGGTTATGGGTCAGCCCCAACATGTAATATACATCTCTGATCTGTGTCTACGAGGGAGGTAAGATGGAGCAGTTAGGAGAGAAAAATTATTATTCACTTTAAAATATAAGTACCAGACTTTTCTTTTCTCTGCACCAGATGACAAGGGCTAATCAACATCCATGTCCTTATCATTTTCTCTCATGATCTTGGTTTTTTACCAAGCTAGCTACACTAGGGACTACAGATCTAGGTAGAAAGATGAGGTAGAGAAAGGGATAGCTGTAGAGGCAAAAATTCTCTGATTCGGGGGAACAAGAACAGGGAGAAAGTAGTGCTTAAGTAACAAATACAGTGGCCAACCTGCATCTCACACTAGGGAGACATGTTCAGAAGTGTTCAGGAACTAGATTATGTTTAGTCTGAAAGCAATCACCCCTTGTAGACATTTGGAGAACGGGAAAACTCACTTCCTTAATGAGATCATTTGTGATAATTTAAGACATTACTTCTTTCTTCATCTTAATGGTTTGAAAACATCCTTACATAAGAAGTGAGACTCGGCCTGTGCTTTTGGAGAAAACATGGCAGAATTAGCAACTGAGATTGATGATGCTTAGGGAATCATCCAAAAACAATTAAAGCAGCAATTTGAGTTGATTTGGGCTCTTCAGCACTTCATCAGGGTCCTTTGATGGCTGCTGAATCATTCTGCCCTTGCTTCTGAGAGTTCTGTCTCTTGTTCTGCAACTTCTACCCTGAGAAGTTTAAGCATTTTAGATGACAGCTATCAAGTAAACAAAGTGAGAGATACAGGGGTGAAAATGGTTGAAATGAATTTGGTTTCTGCATTAACACTGCTCAATTTTTGCTGCTGCCTGACTCTAGGTGATTTTTTTAAAAAGACTTTTTTATTTTTGCATAGAAGAACTGAGGTACTGGGCCACCAGAGGATTCACCAGAGACAGACTAGGGAGCAAAACAGGTGGATTTACTGAAACACACTGCTAAGCAGAGCAGTGAGTGAGACAGTGGCCATGTGGTTCAGTTCCCTGGCTGGAGGTAGAACATGTGCTGCAGCCGGGATCTGAGGTGTTTAAAAAGGTACTCAAAGGGAACTGAAGCTCTACTTTCTGTCATGTCACTTCCGAGTGCATTGAAATATTCCTTTAGGTCTTCCCTTGTAGTAGGACACTCCGTTCCTTAATTTCCTCTGTCCTAGGAAGTATACATTATTTTTAAAAGCAGTTACCAATTTCAAATAGGATACTACACTAGATTTTTTTGTATGTGTTGTTTTCACTAGTAGGTTGCTCCCCCACCCCCCATCCCCCCCCATCGCTGCGCTAATTTTTCCATTTTGCTTTGTTCAGGTATTTACTGTTAGTTAAGGGTGTCAGTGGTCTAGAGCAGAGCAAGATGTTAAGATGCTAAACTAAATTCATTAAGGACCTTGTAACACTTTCAATGTTCTCTCAATTGAGTCTGCCTCAGCGCACTTACTGAGGGCCTCTCCTGTCAGCCTACACAGTGCTCTCTCTGAGCGGTAATAAAAGATAAGATTTCACCGCAGACCAATGGAGCACACTTGGTAGAAGACAAATAAGAAATGGCACTGAATACAGGGAAGCCTGAGGTAATAAAGGATCGGAGAGAGAGAATACAAAGGAAAGACATCTAAACCACCTGTGTAAAAAGAGTAACAAGAGGGCTCTCCCTGGTGGCGCAGCAGGTTAAAGTACAGCACTCAGAAACTAAAGCCACTTCAGCATGAGTTCAATCACTGCCCCAGAGGTGATCCACGAGGCCTGGCAGACCTCTCCTGACCCGCCAGCTGCTCCCAGCAGCAGTGTACTTCATCAGTTGCCCTGTCCTGCTCCCCACTCTGTCTCTAGTGAATCCTCTCACCACCCCTGCACCTCTGGCCTGTACCCCAGCTCTGTATGCATAAATAAATGAATCTTCATTAAAAAAAAAAAGAGTAAGAAGAAAAAAATTCTGAGAGGTGTCACTCTTGGTACAGAGAAATAGTATTAGCAGAAGAAATTGGTTACTTGAGTACAAACCAGTTGATTCTCTACAAGAAAAAGATAAATAAAGCTCAGGTGAGTGAAAACAAAGCATGCCCTCTGGGTAGCTGGGTTTATGTCTGTGGGGCTGAGACCTTATCAGTTGAAGAGAGTTATTCTTTATTCATAAAGCTATGAATGCTGAGAACATTGTTTTTAACAAGGATTAACGTGGTGCAGTTTAAATGGAAGACATATTTTATGTCAATAGACTTGTGGAGGCAGCTAGGTCCGTTAGAAGCTAGCTGTCTTTCATCAAGTTTTATTGACTGGCTATTCATTTACTAAGCTTTGGAATTTGGAAAGCACAACTCACTTCATTATGTACAAGTGCTTCGCTCTCCCTCCACCAAACTCAGTGGCACTACATCCTCACATTAACCCTCTAGTCCCTCCTCTCTGGTGGTCACTGTGTTTTTCAGTACCTAAAGTTATTGTTGTTGTGTGTTGCTGATTTTTCTTTGATTGTTTATATTCCATAAGTGAGTGAAACCACTGATAATTGTCTTTCACTTTTTGATTATTGGCACAATTAACTCAAGCTCCATCCAAATTGTGCCAAAAGGCACCTGCTTTAATGCCCACATTGTGTTACACTGGCTTTATAGACAATTCTTTTTTCCAGTCATCTGTCCATCAGCATTTATGCTGATTAAGTTGTGAATAATGTTGCTATAAACATAAGGGTGTATAAATCTTCTTGTTTGATTGCTTTCATTTTCTGGTGATAAATGCCAACGAGTTGTATTAATGAAACAGCCAAATCCTGAATTCTTCCCTCTTTTCCTTCAGTCATTTCTAGGGACCCTGCCAGCCATAGTGTTCTCTCTCAATAGCACAAAGATACAGGTGGCTGAATTCCTAATGATCTGCTTCCTAGAAATGCAGGACACACAACACTGGCTATCTATAGTCCTGGCTCCTCTTCTGATTTTGGCCCTAGCAGCCAACTTCATGCTATCATTCACCATCTGGCTGGAAGCATCTCTGCATGAGCCCATGTACTATCTGCTTGCCATTCTCTCCTTCCTGGATGTCATCCTCTGCTTCACCGTCATTCCCAAGGTCAGACCCTCCCTGGATTCTCTCCCAGGCATTGAGTCATTTTTCTCTAAACAGTATTTGGTTTTGCTGCTATGAGTCCTCCTGCCATTGAAGGAAAGCCTACAGGAAGTCAGCCACACCATCACACTAATCCCATTAGAGCCCCACATGTATTTCCTCTCATTTACAGTATCCCATGTTTTTTTAAGTCTTCTTTCTTTCCCAGTTGACAGACCTTCTCTCAATGTGATTGATCTATTTTACTTCTAGGGATATTATTTTTGACTTTGAAAAATCCCATCCTTATATCCAAGAGATTTGGAGTTTTCACTCTAAAGTATAATTGAATGCATGTTTATGTCTTATACATATAGTGAGACAGGAGCACAATTGGAAGAGGTTTCTTAAGTGTGTGCAGAGGTCAGAGATTATGCAAACATAAGTGTTGGCCTTATTGGTTTATGCTCTTGCAACATCTTTAGATGGGCAGATGTGGTCAGGTGGGGTTTGGGTAAGAACTCTGCTAATCAATAGAAGACATACTAAAAATGAACATTTTTAAATGAACATTTTTAAATAAGAGAACAGGGTATAAATCAGACTCTGGATATTGGTCTGTGCATCCAAGGTATTTGAAATTAGGATACTATCTCCTAAGATTATGAGTCTGTGGTTTGATATATGAATGGTTAAAGTCCCCCAAGAGGTTTTTTTGTTTATTTGTTTGTTTGTTTGTTTGTTT